TCGTCGGCGTCATGGACTGCATGGTCGTCGTTGGCGTGGTCGTCGTCGTCGTCGTCGTCGGCGTCGTCGTCGCCGTCGTCGTCGTCGTCGTCGTCGTCGTCGTCGTCGTCGTCGTCGTCGTCGTCAGCGTCGTCGTTCTCGTCGTGGTCGTCGTCGTTGTCGTCGTCGGCGCCGCCGCCGCCACCGCCGTCGTTGTCGTCGTCGTCGTCGCCGTCGTCGTCGTCGTCGTCGACGCCCCCGCCGCAGCGGCCGTCGTCGTAGTCGTCGTCAGGTCGTTATCGCCTCCGTCTCCGTCGCCGTGGTTGTCGTCGGCGTCGTCGTCGTCGGCGTGATCGTCGTTGTCGTTGCTTCGCCGTCGTCGCCGTGGTCGTCGTCGTCGTCGTCGAATTCGCCGCCGTCGTCCTTGTCTTCGTCGTCGTTCCCGTTCTCCTCGGAGTGTTCGTCGTCGTCGTGGTCGTCGTCGTCGTTCGCGTCGTCGTGGTCGTTGTCGTCGTCGCTACGTCGTGGTCGCAATCGCCGTCGTCGCCGTCGTGGTCGTGGTCGTCGTTGTCGTCGTCGTCGTCGTCGTCGTCGACGCCCCCGCCGCCGCCGTTGTCGTCGCCGTCGTTGCCGTCGCCATCGTCGTCGTTGCTGTTGTCGTCGTGGTCGTCGGCGTCGTCGTCGTAGTCGTCGGCGTCAGCGTCGTGTTCCTCGTCGACGTCGCCGTCGTCGTAGCCGGCGTCGTCGTCGGCGGCGTCGTCGTTTTCGTCATCCTGGTTGTCGTCGCCGTCGTCGTCGTCGTCTTTGTCGTCGCCGTCGTCGTCGTCGTCGTCGGCGTGGTCTCGGCGGCGTGGTCGTCGTCGTCTGTGTCGTCGTCGTCTGTGTCGTCGTCGCCGGTGTCGTCGTCGACGTCGTCGTCGTCGTGGCTGTCGTCGTCGTTGATGTAGTCGTCGTCGTCGTCGTCGTCGTCGTCGTCGTCGTCGTCGTCGTCGTCGTCGCCGCTGCCGCCGCCGTCGCCGTCGTCGCCGCCGTCGTCGCCGCCGTCGGCGTCGTTGTAGTCGTAATCGTCCTCGTCGTCGGCGCCTCCGCCTCCGCCTTCGTTGTCGTCGACGTCGTCGTCGCCGCCGTCGGCGGTGTCGTCGCAGTCGCAGTCGCCGTCGTCGTCGTCGTCGTCCTCGTTAGCGTCGTCGTCGGTGGTGTGGTCGTCGTCGTCGTCGTCATCGCCGTCGCCGTCGTCGTCGTAGTCGTCGTCGGCGCCGTCGTCGTCGTCGTGGTCGTCGTGGTGGTCGTCGTCGTCGTCGTCGTCGTCGCCGCCGCCGCCGCCGCCGCCGTCGTCGTCGTCGACGTCGTCGTTTTAGTCGTCGTTGTCGTCGCCGTCGTCGTCGTCTTCAGCGTCGTCGTCGTGGTCGCCACTGCTAGCGCCGTCGTCGTTGTCGCCATCGTCGCCGTCGTTGTCGTATTCGTCGGCGTTGTCGGCAACGTCGTCGTCGTGGGCGTGGTCGTCGTCGGGCTGGTCGTCGTCGTCGCCGTCGTTGTCATCATCGTCGTCGTCGTTGTCGTCGCCGCCTTCGTCGTCGTCGTCGGCGTCTTCGCCGTCGTCGGGGTGGGTCGTCGTCGTCGTTGTGGTCGTCGTCGTCACCGCCTTCGTCGTCGTTGACGTCGTCGTCGTCTTCGTCCTCGTTGTCGTCGTCCTCGTCGTCGTCGTCGTCGTCGCCGCTGCCACCGCCGCCGTCGTCGTCGTCGTCGTCGTCGTCGTCGTCGTCGTCGTCGTCGTCGTCCTGGTCGTCGTGGTAGTCGTCGTCGTGTTTGTCGTCTTCGTCGTCGTTATCGTTGTCGTCGTTTTCGTCGCCGCCGCCGTCGCTGCCGTCGTTGTTGTCGTCGTCGTCGTTGTCTCCGTCGCCGTCGTCGTCGTCGCCGTCGCCGTCGTCGTCGTTGTCTCCGTCGCCGTCATCGTCGTCGTCGTTGTCGGCGTCGTCGGCGGCGTCTTCCGCGTCGTCATCGCCGCTTGCGTCGTCGTCGTCGTCGTCGTGGTAGTCGTCGTCGTCGCCGTCGTCGCCGTCGGCGCGGTGGCGTTGTCGTTGTCGTCGTCGTGGTCCTCGTCGTCGTCGCTGCCGCCGCCGCCGTCGTCGTCGTCGTGGTCGTCGTCGAGGTCGTCGTCTTCGTCGCCGTCGTCGTCGTTGTCGTCGGCGTCGTCGGCGGTGTCGTCGTCGGTGGCGTCGTCGTCGTCGTCGTCGTCGCCGCCGCCGCCGTCGCCGCCGTCGTCGTCGTCGTCGTCGTCGTCGTCGTCGTCGTCGTCGTCGTCGTCGTCGGCGTGGTTGTCGTCGTCGTGGTCGTCGACGTCGTCTTCGTCGGTGGTGTGGTCGTCGTCGTCGTGATCGTCGTCGTGGTCGTCGTCGTTGTCGTCGTCGTAGAAGCCGCCGCCGTCGTCGTTGTCGTCGTCGCCGTCATCGTCGTCGTCGTCGTTGTTGTCGTCGTCGTCGTCGTCGGCGTGGTCGTCGGCGAAGTGGTCGTCGTCGTCGTCGTCGCCACCGCCTTCGTCTTCGTTGACGTCGTCGTCGTCGTCTTCGTCCTCGTTGTCGTTGTCGTCGCCGTCGTCGTCTTCGGCGTCGTCGTCGACGCCGCCGTCCCCGTCGTCGTCGTCGTCGTCGTCGTCGTCGTCGTCGTCGTCGTCGTCGTAGTCGTAGGCGTCGTCGTCGGCGTTGTCGTCGTCGGCGTCGTCGTCGTCCCCGCCGTCGTCGTCGTCGTCGTCGTCGCCGCCGTTGACGTCGTTATCTTCGGCGTCGTCGTCGTCGCTGGCGTGGTCCGCATTGTCGCCACCGCCGCCGCCGCCGTCGTCCGCCGTCGTCGTAGTTGTCGTCGTCGTCGTCGTCGTCGTCGTCGTCGTCGTCGTGGTCGTCGTGGTCGTCGTCGTCGTCGTCGCCGTCGTCGTAGTCGTCGTCGTTTCCGCCGCCGCAAACGCCGTCGTCGACGTCGTCGTCGTCGTGGTCGTCGTGGTCGTCGTCGTCGCCGTCGTCATCGTCGTTGTTGTCGTCGTCGCTTCCGCCGCCGCAACCGCCGTCGTCGACGTCGTCGTCGTCTTCGTCGTCGTTGTTGTCGCCGGCGTCGTCGTCGTAGGCGTCGTCGTCGTCGTTTGCGTCGTTGTCGCCGCCGTCGTCGTCGTCGTCGTCGTCGTCGTTGTCGTCGTCGTCGCTGCTGTCGCCGCTGCCCTCCGCGCCGCGCCCCCGGCCGCCCAGAGGCTCTACGAGCGGACGCCCCCGGGCCCCAGCGATTACGAGCCGGGCCGCGCGGCGCCGGTGCGCGCGCGGCCGTCGCAGAACTTCCAGGCACATCGAGGGAGGAGGCGGGAGGAGGAGGGAGGAGGAGGAGCCGACGAGGAGGAGGAGGAGGAGGAGGAGGAGGAGGAGGAGGAGAAGGGAGAGGCGGGAGAAGGAGGGAGGTGAGGGAGGGAGGATGAGGGAGGAGGAGGGGGGGAGGAGGAGGAAAGAGGAGGAGGCGGACGAGGCGGAGAAGGCGGAAGAGGCGGAGGAGGCGGAGGAGGCGGAGGAGGCGGGAGGAGGCGGGAGGAGACGGAGGATGCGGAGGAAGGGGAGGAGCAGGGCGAGAAGGATGATGAAGAGGAGGAGGAGGAGGAGGAGGAGGAGGAGGAGGAGGAGGAGGAGTCGACGAGGAGAAGTGAGGTCGGGAGCAGCGATGATGGTGGATGCAGTCGATCGGCGGCGAGCGAGGGGTGGGAGCGAGGAGGAGGAGGCCTTGTCAGAAGGCGGCGGGACTCCTCAGAAGGCCCTCGCGCCTTCTGAGACGTTTCCGATTGTTGTGGTTCCGGGTGCAGGCGGCCCGGATCAGTAGGTCGACCCTGCCAGATCAAGGGTATCCTTGTGTCCCGTGCGTCGCGACCCATGCTTCCTACATTCCTGCGGCAACGTGGCCCTCGGAAGGGCCTTGTGTGCGGGCAAGATTCATGTCCAGATCCAGTGCCTCGTGGACTTTTTTGGAAGCGGCGCCACAAGGCCGAGGCGCACTGGATATGGATAAAAATCGAGCCTCCAGGGGGCAAATTTATCCATATCCAGTGCGCCTCGGGTTTCTTGGGAAGGGAGCCCGAAACTCCATACTGCAGTGGATATAGACATAAGTATTGCCCGCATTGTGTCCTCTCGCGTGTCCTGTCCAATCGAGTCCGACTGAAAGGCCTAGGGAGCTTTTCAGAAGGCCGGGGGCGCTCCGAGCTCCCCGACGAGGCCCGCCCCCCGTCTCCCTTCCTTTTTCTTCGCTCGCCGCCGAGTGGAGGCGCCGACGCAGGGGCCGCGCCGGGGTCAGGATGGGGCTCGGGTTAAGTCGGGCCCGTCCCCCATACAGGGGGATTTTCGACGAAAAATTAAATTAGAAATACCCTAAACATAGTCCAAAAATAGTCCAAACATAGTCTGGGGACTATTTTTTGAGTATGTGTTTTGCTTTTTGGGGGTATGTTTGGGTATTTGTCATTTTCCGCCCTAAATATAGTCCAAACATAATCCAAAAGTAGCCGGGGTATTATTATTATTATTGTTTGGATTCCTTTTTGTTTTTTGGGTGTATGTTTGGATATTTTTTATTTTCCGCCCTGTGGGGGGGCAGCCCCGACAGAAGGCTCGGCTTGTCGGGCCGTGCGTCGCGGGCCCAGGCCGGGGAGCCGAGACGCGGCCCGCCGTGGCCGGGAAGGCCACCTCTCTGGGGGCCCAGAGAGTTCAGGAGGGAAAGAAACACACAGGCACCATGAATCGTCGATTCCCAAGAAAACATGGGGGAAATGTGGGAAGTGGGGGGGAAGACAGAAACCCAGAAAGCATGGGAACATCTAGGGGAATCCTGTTATTTGTGTGTGTGTGTTCATTTGTGTGTCCCAGGGCCCCTTCAAGAATATGCACCACCACCACGTCAATGCCTCCTCTCTCCTCTGTCCTCTTCCTTTCCTCTCTCTCTCCCTCTCCTGGGAGAGGGAGGGGGTGAGGGAGGCGGTGGTGGTGTATATTTTTGGCCCCCCCATTCTTTCTGTAGTCGGCGTTCCTTCTGGCAGTGACACTGCTAGAAGCCCAGGGGGGAGCGCATCGACCCCCAATCGCACATGGATCGTCGGTCGATAGGGGTCTGATGTCCCTACCCTTGTGGAGGACGATCAATGGAGAGGAAGCATGTTGCCGAATAATTTCCATATGTCTAAAACATGTAATCAACATGGTTAAACCATGTAAAAACTTGTTTAAGCATGTCTAGAACAATTGCTCCGATCTATTAAACACATTTTAAATTCAATGATAGGACTGTTAGGGTGTCCATGGTCGTGGGATCCGCAACCCTACCCCTATTGGGGACCATGTCACGCGACGTCTGGGGTCGAGGATGTTGTGTTGATAGTTGGTTCTTGAGTTTTTCACCAACAGCCATGCAGGACGAACAACTGCTCTTGGGGAGGGGGCGAACACTCTCGGGAGTCGGCGACTCGATGAAACCGAATCGTCGGAGGCTTGGGAAGGACGCTTGAGAGAAGAGGGAGTAGGGAGCAGGGGTCGACCTCAACGGGGTCTTGGGGATTTCGTGGGCGGTTTTCGCTTCGATGTCGTTTTGCAGCGAAGGTAGATGGAAGACGAAACGAGGGACAACGACTAAACACTGTTCGGGGCGACCCCTGGTAGGGAGGAGGGAGGAGGGAGGAGGGAGGAGGGAATGGCGGGCCAGGAGGTAGGGAGGCAGGACCGGGGAGGAGGGAAGGGGTAGGAGGGTGGGGGGCCAGGGACGCCAGACCGGAAAGGAGGTTGGGAGGAAAGGAAGGGGAGGATTGTTCCTCCCCCCCGATCCTTCCACGTCGGGTCAGTCGCGCGGACCAGCTGTGTTCGCGCTTCGGTCTGGACGAGGGAGGAGGGAGGAGGGAGGGGGCGACGAGGGAGTGGAGGAGGCAGTGGGACGGAGCCGGGGGAGGAGGAGGAGGAAGGCCCGTAGAAGGAGACCCAGACGGCTGGAGGAAGGGAGAGGGCGTGGAGAGCCAGAGTGAGCCCAGGGAGACCTCATCGCCGCTGCAACGCCAGCTCCCGTCCCAGGTCCCCTTACCCTACACATACATAGTTCGCTCCTTTGTGGGCCCCGGAAGCGGCATGGCCGTTTTTTTCACGGTTTCCAAGAAATTGTCCCATGGAAATGCAAACGGCAAAAAACGGCGACCCGAAATGTCAAAAAAAAACGGCTCCAGGATTGGAGCCGGAGCCCGATCCGGTCAAAAAACGGCGACGGAACCGGTAAAAACAGAAACGGCGTCGGAACCGGCAACAAAAACGGCGAAACGGAACCGGTAAAAAAACGGCCCCGTCGTTTCCAGGGCCCACTAAGGTCGCTCCCATTGTGGTGAGCGCCCCCCCCGTGAATGACGAGTGCCCCTGGTCGGTGGGGGCCTGGCGCTCGGGCGGAGCTGCGCTCCGCCCGAGCGTCGGGCCCCACGCCCCACGTCCGTGGGGTCGTGGCGCCCCACGTGGGATCGTGGCGCAGGTTCCGGAGGGCGGAAAGCACACAGGCACAGTGAATCGTCGATCCCCAGGGAGATGTGGGGAAATATGGGCAGTGGGGGGGGGGAAGACAGGAGCCCAGGAAGCATTGGGAAACTATGGGGAGTCCTGTTAATAACCTGTGTGTATTTGTTTGTGTGTGTGTGTGTGTCCTTGGGCCCCTTGCTCGCGGCGCGGGTTCAGAGTGAGAGTGATATATACACTCAGCTCGGTGGAACAGGGGCCGCCTGCCGCCTGTTTCGTCGCTGCAGCAGTTTTTGGCTCGGGCCCTCGAGCTCCCAGGCTCGAGTGTGATCTTCTGAGGGTGCCGCTGGCGAATCCCGGCGGGCACACGCACGCGCAGGATTTGCCCTTTCGTCTCGCGCTCCCGTGCCTGCTTTTTCGTTCCGGAGGATGGGGCGCGGACAGTCCTGTGGCCAAGGGGTTGCCTTTTCCCCGACTCCCTGTGGACTGCAGGCCAGGGTGAAGCGTGCCGCTGTCACCCTGCCGCCGCGCCCCCACGACCTCGCCGAAGAAGCAGCCGGGTCCTAGAGCCGGAGGACATCTCAGGCAAGACTCGCATTCCCAAAGAAGAGCGGCCTCCATCCTTGCGCCCGCTGGAAGCTTGACAACGAACAGGCGCGGTGCAACGACGAGAGCCGCGTTTTGAAAACCACGCCGCCTCCATCCGTAGCAATGCTGGGCGTGCTGAAGACTAGTGCTCGTGGCGCTAGTGCAAGGTTGGAAACCGTCGGCCCTCCATCCTCATAACTGATGGAAGCTTTCTAGCAGGGATGCGCTCGGCGAGGATTCAGCATTTCGACACAAGCCCTCCATCATTACAAGTGGTGACAGATTTTAGACAGGATGTGCGCGGCGCTGAGGTGTTAGAAAACACTGGCCGTCCATCCTTGTTCGTGCTGCAAGCTCTCAGCTTAGTGCGAATGCGCGCTGCGCAAACCCGAGAGCCGTATCTAGCAATCCACGGCCTCTCCATCGGTGAAGTTGTTTGAAGCTTTTAGATCGGATTTGCGCGGCGCCAAGGCGAGAGTCGCACTCTGGTAGCCACTGGGAAGCCAAGATTGTCATATATTGAGTTCGCTTAGCTTCAGAACAGTAAGTTGCAAGGGAGTCCCAAGCGAAACGCTGGGCCTGGACTACGGCCACGTCTGCTTGTGCGACAGGGGGAGTTGTTCATGGAGAAGGGGGTGGGAGGGAGGGGTATGGGGACGGGGATGAGAGAGGGATGGCTGGAGGGGAGGAGGATGGGTTTCGGTGGGGGAGACGGGAACCACATGGAGGAACCAGCACACATCACGTGGAGGGGGATGGGGTCATTCAGGACGAGGAAACGCACAACGACGCACGGCGAGGCTGCCAGTGCCCGTGCTTGTTGGTCCCAGCCTCTCAGGGCAAGGCGGAGCGCTTCTTCCACCTGGAGAGCGTCGCTGACGACGCCCCTGGCCCAGGCGTGGAGGAGGACGAGTCGGAGGAGGAACAGGGACCGATACCGCTGCCCTTGCTCCGTTTTGGTCTATTCTCTTGCACAGGGTGTGTAGAGCTCCGACCACCCCCTCCATCACCCACACATTCCACCAGCCAGCGTGCCCCTCCGCCCCGACCCCTTCATTTCGGCACGGCACACCCCTCCGCCCCGACCCCTTGTACTTCGGCACGGCACACCCCTTCCGCATCCCCCCCACTCACCAGCCAGCGAGCCCCTCCGCCCCGACACCTTGATTCCGGCACGGCACACCCCTCCGCCCCGACCCCTTTTTTTTATTTCGGCACGGCACACCTCCCGCATCCCCCCACCCACCAGCCAGCGCGCCCCCTCCGCCCCGACCCCTTTATTTCGCCACGCCCCCCCGCGCGCCCCCTCCGCCCCGACCCCTTTTAGTTCGGCACGGGACACCCCTCCGCCCCGACACCTTTATTTCGGCACAGCACACCTCATCCGCATCCCCCCCAGCCAGCGCGCCCCTCCGCCCCGACACCTTTTACTCGGCACGACACACCCCTCTGCCCCGATTTGTTTCATTCCGGCACGTCATACTCCTTCCGCATTCCTCCTGCCCACTTACCAGCCAGCGCGCCACTCCGCCTCGACCCCTTTTCATTTCGGCACGGCACACCCATTCGCCCCGACCATTTCATTTCGGTACGACACTTGTTCCGCATCCTTCCATTCACCAGCCAGCACGCCCCCACGCCCCATCCCTTTATTCGGCACGCCCACCCCCCCCTACACCCCCCCACTCACCAGCCAACGCACCCCTTCCGCCCCGGCCATTTTATTTCGGCACGCCCACCCCCCCGCACGCCCCCTCCGCCCCGACCCCGTTATCTCGTCACGGCACACCTTTCCGCCCCGACGCCTTTTATTGCGGCACGGGCACACGCCCTCCACATCCCCCCCGCCCGGGAACCAGGGGCGCTCTCCGCCCCGACACATTTATTTCGGCACGGCCCCCCCCCCGCCCCGACCTTTATTTCGGCGGCACACACCCTTCCGCATCCCCCCCCACCCACCAGCCAGCGCGCCCCTCCGCCCCGACCCCTTTATTTCGGCACGGCACACCCTTCGCCCCGACTCCTCTTTATTTCCGCACGGCCCCCCCCCCCCGCATCCCCCCACCCACCAGCCACCAGCGCGCCCCTCCGCCCCGACTCCTTTTTATTTCGGCGCGGCACGCCCCCTTCTGCACCCCCCCACTTGCCAGCCAGCGCGCCCCCTCCGCCCCGCGACCCCCTTGATTCCGGCACGGCCCCCACTCCCTCTCCCCGCGCGCCCCCGTGCGCCCCCTCCGCGCTTTCCTTCCCCTCCCACCAGCCAGCGCGCACCCCCCCGCCCCGACCCCTTTTATTACGCCCCCCCCGCCCCACACCCACCCACTCTCCAGCCAGCGCCCCCCTCCGCCCCGACCACTTTCTTTCGGCACGGCACACCCCCCGACCCGTTCCTTTCTTTTGGGCGGCAAACCGCCGCCCTCCGCCCCCTCCGCGCGCGCCCCCTCCCATCCCCCCGCCCTTCAGCCAGCGCGCCCCCCCAGCCCCGACCTAGTTGTTTTGGCGCGGCACACCGCCCTCTCCGCCTGACCCACTCATCTCGGCACGGCACCGCCCCCCCCCCCACCGAGCGCCCCCCCCGCATCCCCCATCCACCATCCAACGCGCCCCCTCCGCCCCGACACCCCCATCCCGAGCGGCCCCCCCATCACCCCATTCACCAGCCAGCGCGCCCCCTCTGTCTCCTTCCCTTTCCTTCCTGTGCAAGGGCCATGGCGCACGTGCCACTTGTTTCGGCCTTCTAGGAGGCCTCGTCACCACCGCTGGCTTTGCTCCGAAATTCTGGTCAGAGCGCACCCCGGGAGAGGTCCAGAGAGCAGCAGCATCGGTACCTTTTTAATCAGGAGCGAAAGAAGGACACGCATGTACATGAACCCGCGCAGGTTTCGAAAGTACGCATTGCGCAAGCGTGCGTGACACCCGTAGTCAAGCACGTGGCTGGGCGCGTGCGTCTCTTGTGGGCTCCCCAACGTTTGGTTTCCCCAGCGAGGGTCGAGGCTCGGGGAAGGTCCTCGCCCGCGCTGGCGTCCCCGGACACCTCGACAGGCCCACGCCCCTGACCTCGTGACTTCGTGTCGGTCCCCAGGGGCCCGAGAGAAGATCGGCCCCCGAGAGGCCCAGCGTGGGCAAGACACACAACTTCTGCTGCAGAGGAGGAGGAGGAGGAGGAGGAGGAGGAGGAGGGGAGGAGGAGGAGGAGGAGGAGGAGGAGCGTCGGGGGTCTGGGTTGGTCTTGCCGCGGCCGCTGCCGCCGTGGCTGCTGCCGCGGACGGCGCTGCCACGCCTGGCGCTGCTGCTGTCGCCAGCCCTCCCCTGCGCCTCTGCTGCTCCTGTTGATGCCTGCCCCCCCTCCTGGCTCGAGGAGGAGGAGGAGGAGGAGGAGGAGGAGGAGGAGGAGGAGGATGAGGAGGAGGAGGATGAGGAGAGAGAGGGAGGAGGGAGGAGGGGCAGGAGGAGTGAGGGAGGAGGTGGAGGAGCAGGAGGGGACATGGGAGAACAAGGAGGAGTGATGATGAGGAGGAGGAGGAGGATGAGGTGGAGGAGGAGGAGGAGGAGGAGGAGGAGGGGGAGGAGGAGGAGGAGGAGGAGGACAGGGACTTGCGCACGGGCATGCGCACCGAGGACTGGGACTGGCCTCCGCGGCGGAGACAGTTGCAGCAGCCGACATATTTTCAGCAGAGCCTTAACCCCGAGAAGCGATAGGACGTGCTTGTCCGTGGCATCGGGGCGGATCCTCGCGGCCCGCTGTCTTGCGGTAGCCGATGCCATCGGTCGCGTTGATGTGAGACTGCGGACGCAGAGCGGCGGTGCCGCCGACGCGGTGACATGGCCCAGCTGCTGAGGCGAGCCGCCCCCTCGGCCGGCATGGGCACAGGACAGACGGCACAGTCTGCGGCCGGCCGGGGGACCGGCATGGGGGCCACTCGCCGAGGTACCCTTCTGGCCTTGTAATATTGCTGCAGCATTTGTGGCTTCGGGGCATCGAACTTGAGGCTCGAGTGTGATATTGTGAGAGGGCCGCTGGCGAATCCCAGCGGGCACACGCACGCGCAGGAACTACCCCTTCATATCGCGGTCCGTGCCTGTTTTTCCTAACCATCCTGTGGTGTTGGGGTCTCGATTTGAAGAAACGGTCCCCGCGTCCCTCCTCCTTCCTTCCTCCCCTCCCCCCTCCTCCTTCCTCCTTGCGTTTCGCCCACCCATCACAGCGTTCCGTGGCCCATGGCCCCATAGGGAGCTCCACCGAAGGCCCCAGCGGCAGGGTTCGCATGGCGGCCCCGCATTCTGGCGCACCCCCCGCTCCACCGAAAGCCCCGGTGGCAGGGATCGCATGTCCCGTCTTGGGGCACCCCTCACACGGTTCGTGGCCCCATAGGGAGCTCCACCGACGGCCCCAGTGGCAGAGTTCGCATGGCGGCCCCGCATTTCGGCGCACCCTTCACACGGTTCGTGGCCCTACCGGGAGCTCCACGGAAAGCCCCCATTGGCAGGGTTCGCCTTGCGGCCCCGCCCCGTTTTGGCACACCCCCCACACGGCTCGTGGCCTCAAAGGGAGCTCCACCGAAGGCCCCGGTGGCACGGTTCGTGGCCCCACAGGGAGCTCCACCGAAAGCCCTAGTGGCAGGGTTTGCATGGCGACCCCGCCCCGTCTTGGGGCACCCCTCACACGGTTAGTGGCCCCATATGAGGTTCCACCGAAGGCCCCATTGGCAGGGTTCGCATGGCGGCCCCGCCTTATTTTGGCGACCTCTCACACGGTTCGTGGCCCTATAGGGAGCTCCAAGGAAGGCCCAGGTGGCAGGGTTCGCATGGCGGCCCCGCCCCATCTTGGCGCACCTTTCACACGGTTCGTGGCCCCATAGGGAATCCACGGAAGGCCCCACTGATAGGGTTCGCATGGCGGCCCCGCGCTATTCTGGCGCACCCCCCACACGGTTAGTGGCCTCAAAGGGTGTTCCACCGAAGGCCCCAGTGGCAGGGTTCGCATGGCGGCCCCGCCCCATCTTGGCGCACCTTTCACACGGTTGGTGGCCCCATAAGGAGCTCCACCGAAGGCCCCGGTGCCAGGGTTCGCATGGCGGCCCCGCCCCATTCTGGCGCACCCCTCACACGGTTCGTGGCCCCATAGGGCCATGGGGTACTCCACCGAAGGCTCCAGTGGCAGGGGTCGCATGGCGGCCCCGCCCCATTTTGGCGCACCCCTCCCGTGCCTCGTCGCACCTGCCTTGGGGTTCTCGCACTCGCGCATGGCTGGGTCCTTCGCCCGGAGAAGTTTTCGTTCGGGAGGCTCGGGTGAGGACAGTCCTGCTGTGGCAAAGTGGGTTGCCTGCAATGGGAACCCATCCACCCTGCTTGTCTCCAGGGTGCCCTGGGTTTCTCGGGCTTCGATGGTTTTGCTGTGGGCAGCGTGACGTTCCCACATCAGAGGTGAATGGACGTCCTGGGGCCTCAAGGCCTGGTTTCTTGTGGAAGAGTTCTTGAGGTCGAGCTCCCACTGCCTACTGCATGCGCGAATGATGCGCGGCCCTCACCAGAAGGTCACGAAGTACGCAGCAACCTCGGATCATATGGTTATTCGGTGGCGAGCGAGGGGGGAAGTGAGAAGGAGAAGGCCTTCTCAGAAGGTTCGGAAGCCCCTGGCCTTCTGAGAAGTGTTCTACGCCTTCCCCGAAGACACAACAAGCTGCAACAAGCTTCTGAACAGGCCCGAGGCCTCTTGAGAAGTCCCGCCGCCTTCTTCTCCTCACTTCCCCCCCTCGCTCGCCGCCGAGCGAATTATGGCATGCCACCGCGCCAACCAGCACCCGAGTGTTGCAGCAGGCGGAGGTTGGACGTCGCCACCCTCACCGAGCGCGTTTCACTATTCGCAACGTGCCTACTCGCAAACGTCCGAAAAAAC